AAGCAGCATGGATTACTCCACGGAGAAAATCCTCAATCTTGTTCAAGGCCAAAATGAGGGCCTAAACGTTAAAAATTGGCGAGTAATAACGCCGAGGGCCATCTGGTCACAACTCTTTCTGTGGACAGTGCATCCGCAAAAAAATTCAAATCCGGAGGCTACGCGGTAAGTTACAAGTTCGGTCATACGACTATAAAACCGCAAAGCAGCCAGAGCACAACAGCTGTGGAGTAACCAAGCTCCCCAAAGAAAAGCGGCGCCGAACCAAGGCAGGCACGTCTAAAGACCCGATGAGTCATAAAGACGAAAGAGCCCAGGCGGGGTCCGGAAACTGAATGTAATTCTAATGGCTTCCACCAACCAACCAAAGAGAAGCAACTCACCAAGCATCAAATGCATTCAAATAAGTCTTCAACACTCAAAAGCTGCCGCTAGTGAACTTAGAAAAATAATGTTTGGACAAAAAATCAACGTAGGGCTACTTCAAGAGCCCTGGGTCAATGGAGGCTCTATAAAAGGCCTGAATATCAAATCATGTAAGTTAATCTACAACATTAACCACGAAAGACCAAGAGCAGCATTGCTGCTTGACAAAAATTTAAAATTTTTACCTGTTCCAGAGTTCATCACACAAGACTTGGCAGCTGCTTTAGTAGAAGTGCCAACGGAGGGGGGCTCAAGGCATATTCTCATAGCCTCAGCCTACTTTCCAGGTGATGATAACTCAGCACCGCCAGAGATCGTCCAACGACTCATCACGTGGTGCAGAGCGAGAAACAGACACTACATTATCGGGGCGGACGCCAACGCCCATCACCAGGTAGGATGGGGAAGCACCGATACAAACGCAAGAGGTGAGTACCTTTTTGAATATTTGAACTCTAACAACGTAAACATTATCAACAAAGGTAACAAACCCACTTTTATTAACGCCGTCAGACAAGAGGTCTTAGACGTGACTTTCGCTGACACATTTACATCTAACACAATAACCAACTTTGTCAAATGAACCCTCCACCTCGGACCATCAAGCAATAAGGTTCGACCTAGAGGCAGTTATAAATCCCTCAGTACAGACAAGAATCCCAAAACTCACCAACTGGGTATCCTTTGTGGAGGTTCTCTGCCTGAGTCTAGATGAACTCCCTTCTGACATAAATACAATAGAAGAGCTAGAGGAATCATCTGACAATCTAACAAATGCGATAAAAGATTCCTATGAGAACAGTTGTCACGTAAAACAGAAGGCAGTCCACAGGGATGTGCCTTGGTGGAACGGGCAGCTGAGACGTCTGAAACAAGATGCCAGAAAACTGTTCAACAAGGCAAAAACTAACGGCAGCTGGGCAGACTATAGAACAGCCCTAGACAAGTACAACCGTGAATTAAGAAAATCAAAAAGGAAATCATGGACACAATTCTGCGAGAGGATTGACGAATTAGCCCCAGCTCAACGTCTCCAAAAAGTTCTTTCAAAAAACTACTCAAACGGAATTGGTCTGCTTAAAAAGCCAAACGGAGAACACTGTACCGACCATATAGAAAGTCTAGAGGTACTACTACAAACTTACTTTCCAGGTTCGGTAATCGTTGAAGCCCTGAACCAGGTCACTCCGCCTATCGAAGGGCCACAAAGCCCTAACGGCAGGAGCAAAAGGCTGGCTGGGAAAATCTTCACAATGAATAGAATAAAATGGGCGATCGATAGCTTCAGACCCTACAAATCTCCAGGCAAAGACGGGATTTTTCCCGCACAACTGCAAAAAGGCTACGAGTACTTAAAGATACACCTACAAAAGCTCTTTAAGACAAGCCTGCTCCTAGGGCACATACCGCTATCTTGGAGGGAAGCTAATGTGATATTCATACCAAAAACGGGTCGCCGACTCGAGGACGAACCAAAATCATATTGTCCCATTAGTCTAACCTCCTTTCTCCTTAAGACAATGGAGAAAGCAATCGACCAGTACATCAGAAGCGAAACTCTATTGAGAAGCAATTTGCCTATCAGCCAGGCAAATCCACGATAAGTGCTTTACACTGCCTGGTTAAAGACATTGAAAAGACAATCGAGTGCAAAGAGATCGCTCTCACAGCTTTCATCGACATAGAGGGTGCCTTTGACAACACCTCACATCAATCAATCGCCAGAGCATTACAAGAATGGGATGTTGAAGTCCCAATTGTAAAATGGATAGAGTCGATGCTGAAACACCATTACGTTACGGCGGAAATAAACGGAGCATTAGTTACCGCTACCACGGTCAGAGGGTGTTCTCAAGGGGGTGTTCTAGCTCCACTACTATGGACACTGGTGGTAGACAAAATTTTTACCAGACTGAGTAGTGCTGGATACTAGGTCATAGGTTACGCAGATGACCTAGCCATTGTAATCAAGGGCAAACATGAAGGCGTAGTAACAAGCCGAATGCAAAGTGCCCTAAACATCGTTAAAAATTGGAGCGAAGGCGAAGGATTATCCCTAAACGCAAACAAAATAATCCTTGTCCCGTTCACAAGAAGAAGGAGGCTAAATCTGAAAGCCCCGACCCTTAACGGTACACAAGTAACATTTTCCAACGGAGTGAAGTACTTAGGGGTCATCCTGGACTGAACGCTCACTTAGAACAAACAGTTAGAGAAAACATGCTCTCGAGCTACATCAGCCATTTGGTCATGCCGAAAACTTGTTGGCAAAACATGGGGGCTAAAGCCAAAGATGGTATTCTGGATTTACCAAACCATAATAAAGCCCATGGTCACATACGCCTCATTGAGCTAAGAAAGGTGCAAAGGCTGATATGTCTAGGAATAACGGGAGCAATGTCAATTTGCCCCACCGCAGCCCTAGAGGCGCTACTCAACATGCCCCCACTTCACCTATGTGTGAAAAAAGAGGCAATAACCAGCGCTCACAGGCTAATCCAAATAGACAAATTCAAGCTTGGCGATCTGAGGGGACATCTGAGAATCCTTGATCTAATAAAACTGGAGAATGCCAGCAAACCAAGTGACCACATGATGGTCAGATTGGACTTAGAGATCCCCTTTCGCAGGGGTAATAAACGACCGCCAATCATGGAAGAATAAAGAACTACCACAAGCAGACAATACATCTCTGTGGTACACAGATGGATCCAAGCTAATGGAAGGAGCTGGACTGGGCATTTCCGGCCCTAACTTCAAGCTTTCCAAGGCATTGGATAAGCATCTTGCAATATTTCAAGCCGAACTGTTTGCTATAGATATATGTGCACAAGAGTGTCTTAGCCAAAGCCTCAAAAGAAAACACATCTTCATACTATCGGACAGCCAAGTTGCCTTAAAAGCCTTAAGGGCTTTCAAATACACGTCAAAACTGGGAGTGTAAACAAACCCTAAAAACACTAGCGACACATAACCAGGTAATGTCTGCCCAGCGAGTCTGTGTTTACGGGGCAACGGTAAGAGGAATGCAGTTGTAAAAAAAAAATGGCTGATTTCATTCATAAAATACCCAGCTGCGTGCGGAACTTTTTGGAAGTGTTATCGTATTGCAACTCTTACACGAAAATCAGCAATGACCAAATCTCCGCCACTGGATATTTCAATATAAATCGATATTCCAAGATGGGAGGATAAAGTGACGTGAGCCCTGGCCAATAGTGAGACGTAAGGTGACGTTAGCTCATTGACAACTGTATGGTTCCCCATGACAACGGCGATCCTGCCAAAAACTCCACCAATCAGGTTCATCCAGGACGGATGCTTGCCAAATTGTCAAAAACTGATGGTATCTTTAGAAAATGTTTATTTTTTACGATAGTCCAAATTTAAGAAATCAGGATTAAAATAGGGATAGATCTAACAACCACGTTAAAATATTTAGCATTTTATTATTGTTATCAATATTTTGTTATTAAAAAATGGATTTTCAAATTAACTATACTTCATGCACAGTATTTTCGCTTTTTTATAATTAAACGTGGCAACATGGCACATTTACGTCCGAATTCCTTCCGTAGACTCAGATCCGCTGGGCAAACAATACGTTGATGTGGCTGCCTGGTCATCAAGGCATAGAAGGAAACAAAGAAGCAGATGGCGTCGCAAAGGAAGGGGCCTCAATATCATACCATGGACCAGAGCCCTACTGTGGCTTAATGAAAAGCCACATCATGGAAGAACTCAACAAATGAGAGAAAGACCAACTGTCATCATATTGGAGGCACACACCGGGACTCAGACAGTCAAAAAGGTTTATTGCCCTTTCAGCAAGAAGAGCTGAACAGCTCCTAAGCATGAGCAGACCAGACATCAGATTGGTGGTGGGACTGCTCACAGGACACTGCCCAGTAAAATACCATTTAAGGTTAATGGGCAGAGCGGAAGACGATCTTTGCAGATTCTGCTCAGACGCAATAGAAACCGCAGAGCACCTGCTCTGCGAATGTCCAGCCCAATTTTGCAAGAGGCTCAAATTCCTCGAGGGGGCAACACTGTCACCAGAAGAAGTGGACCAACTGACACCGAAAGAAGCAATCTTTCGGCAGAAGTCTACGCTTCCTGGAGACAAATTAAGATGTAGAGTCACGCACAAAATATCTGCAAAGGTAGCAGTGCTGAGCGGCTGAAAAGCCGAAACGACTCCCCAGAAATCTACAATCTACAATCATCGATACGATAGATTTGGGCTGGTGCGAACCCACCACCAATGAGCGGTTCCTTTCGCAAAAGATTTTCGCGACTGTTGAGTTTTTTCTCCGGTTTTCGCACAACAATTGATCGTGTGTTTAAGCCTACAAGGAGCGCCTCAACGTTAGAAGACCACAGAAGCCAAATTGGGTAAGCGACAAATAACCTTTTTGCATGACCTCAATTTATTTCTAATTTTTTCGTGTAATAAGGACGCAATATTCGCCATACAGTCCACTAATAATTCAAACGTATGAATCGCATCCTCAACTGGAAATGTATGTTTCCAGTTTTTGAGGAAATACTCAAACTCGAGCAGTTTGCTAAGAAAATGAATCAACTAGGTAATATTTAAAACAAATTTCATCAGTATTTATTAATTATTCTAAACAAACTATGTAAAAATTGCAACTCCTAATACTTACATAACACGGCAGTGAAATTTCGGAAAACATCCTAAATAAATTTTATATTGGATACTCGATTAGTTAATTTTTAATAAGAACTATTTCTTAGAGACTTAAAAGCTGGGCATTCACGAAACTAATAAAGCTCTATTGAAATTAAAAACTACACATTTGTGAACAATTATATCGGCTTCAATTTTAATCTAATTACGTTGAAATCGGATTGAAATTAATAGAGTTATAGAGCAAAATGTGCATCCATGTTACCAGCGACTATTTTTAATTTTCAAGCTGCATTAAAATTGGAAATTTTTAGAGAATTAAATTAGCTTAATTTTAGTTTATCAGGCAAAATGTGAGAAAAATCATGGAAAAATTGGATTGAAATTGCGCAATAGGGAGGAGAAAATGACGATTCAGATTGCAAACTTGACTTGACTTCAATTTGAGCCTATAATTGCGTTAAGATCGGATTGAAATCAATGACGCAAAATTATGTAGTTTTGGAAAAAAATTACATAATTATTTAAATAGGTATGTATCACATTATTAGCTCTGATTAATAACAACAATAATTTAAACCAACATAAGAATATGTTGTGCTTTTTAGAAAAACATAAATTGCTGCTTCATCAACTGAAACATTTCAAAAAAAATTACCTTGTGATTAAAAACCAGCAAAAAATCATCATAGTTCAGTAAAAAACGTCGGCCTTTCGATTTTCAACAACCGAAACAGGAGCGGAATCAAATAAACCAAATTAAAACCAATCATACCGCAAGTGACATACTTGCAACCCAAATCCACAATAGTCTTGTGTTTGTTTTGCAAAGTGTTCTCCGACTTTTTCAATTTGGTTTCGTCTTCTTTGAGTAGCGCGCAAATGAAACTGTATGAAAGGCTTTTGCATAGTTGCCGGGTTAGTAAGACAAGGGCGAATCCGATGAGAGTTCTGAGTAGGAGGCAGCCGAACATGGTCCACGACGGCCACATGATGATGTAGGGCAGGGAGAGATCGGAACTGGTCATTTGACCGGTTTGGTAGTTGAGCCAGGCTCCGATCAAAACGCCGACGCAAACTGAGAGGATCATTGTGGTGTCACCTCTGGAATCAGAAAAAAAATGTCTTATTGAAACAGTTAATCATTATTGTTGGATCGAGAATATGTCAAGGTTAGTAGTTGCATCTTAATTTTTTTTTTTTTAATTGTGGTTGTTTAGCTATCTCAATTCAAAAAAGAAATAAGATATACATCAACGAAATGATTGCAATCATTTGTTTACAAAAATCCCGTCAACTGATTTTAGAGTTAATAAATACGAACAAACCCAGAAAATATTTCTCAATTTGAAAATTTTGCAAAAGTTGCATTTGTGATATATGCTGATTTTGAATGCTTCTCAAAATCTCTAAAATATACCAGAAAATGATGAGAGTACTTTTACTATAAATTCCTTCACACAAGAGTCATATGCTTTTAGTTACTTCAATGAATGTTCATATGATGACTCTCCGTCAGTACTAGATTACTACTATGGGCTAAACACAACTGATAAATTTTTTAAACGAATTGAGGCTCATGTTTATAGGATTTACAATGATTATTTAAAACATGTAGAATAATATGATCCCTCTAACAAATGAATTTAAAAAAACCTGATGTATGTAGTATTTGGAACCAGAAATTTGAGCCTGCAAATAAACAACTAAAGGATCGTGAATAATCAATTATTATGATTATTAACTGGTACATTTAGAGGCCCATCTCACAGCATCTGCAACTTAAATTATAAATTTTCGGATCCCGTCTTGAATTACAATGTTTTTTCACAACTTAACAGGCTATGACAGCAATTTGTTTATTAAACAGCTTTGTTGTGAAAATTATACAATTGATATTCTTACACAAACTAAAAAATTAAATACTCTGGTAACGAAATTAAACATGTTTTTATTAAACCTAGATTTTCAGACTCTTTTCGTTGGAGAGTCCTAGCTATCATCAAATTGCTACGTTTTTTTTGTTAATATGAATGAAAAGTGAAATGTAATTAAAATTAATTAAAATTATGAAATTAAAAGCTTTGGTCTATTGGATGTCTAGGACGTTGCAAATTTAGCCCTAGCTCAGAAATTAAATACGGAGAGTAGGGGTGGGTTTTTTATGGGCGCCACTGACCTTGGACAGAATGGCCAGTATTCTCCAGGCTGTTGGCTGGCCCCAAAGACCAAGATATTATGATATATGCAAAACAAAATAAAAATAAAATAATGAAATAAAATAAAATAAAATAAAATAAAATAAAATAAATAAATAATTAACCAGTGAATATTCAGTCCAATCAAAGTAACGCCACTGGTTGGTAGTCAAGAGTGAGCTTCCAGAGTCAAATGAAACAAATATACGTAAAGATTCAAGAGCTAAATTTATTTAATAAAAAAAAAATACAATAATTGCTCGATAACTCGTCAGCAATATTCAGATAAATGAATTAGGTAATTATCAGTTATTCAATAGTCAGGTAATAAATATGAAAAGTCAACAAATCAGTTGAAATTAAAAACTGTAGTTCAATACCAAACTCAAATCAGTTAAACAATATGAATTAAATGCATAAGCAATAGAGTAATACCTCAATTAAATGTAAATTTTCATAATAAGCACTTCAGATAAATAACGATTAAATCCTGTAATAAATCAATAACCCAACCTAGATATTAGTAACTATTGACTTGGATTCGGATGTAAGAAAAACTAGAGTTAGTTCGGCATTAGTTCCTTAAAAAAAAATTACAAGAGCACTCCGGGTTCAAGTCAATATAAAATAAATCAATGTCAATAATCCAATATATTATATAAACCGATTCGTTAGTATACGCAATATTACTACCTTTGTGATATCACTCTGGTTTACACCTTCAATTAAATTGTTATGGAATTATGTAACAGTTAATTGCTAGAATTTGGTTAATTATAACCACCTATTAAATCTAAATATTGGGTTTGGATCTAGTTATTGCAGTTCAGATAAGGTCAATGAGGTTATGAAAAGTGCAACTGAATTAATTATAAATGGAATTTACGTTAATTAAAAATGGAATTTAAGTCAACTGGTTTGAGGAAAATAAATAGTTAAGCTTGGTGAATGGTTGATCAATTGACAACCTGACAAATATTATCAACACAAAAACTAAGTTACTAAAGGTACGAATTTAAATTTATAAAAAAAAAGTAAGAGAATGAAAGGTAAAAAGGTAGTAATTATGATAAATTGTTAAGTTACGATACCACAAAACAGCTGCAGACTTCTTGGTTCTCACTCAGAACTTGATGATTTGAGTAGGTCTCAAGGATTGGCTTTGAGAGACCGGTTATTGGTGGAATCCAATTGATGGGCTTGAATTTCTACCAAGCAGCAGTTCGGTGGGGTAAATGGGACCGTAACGTAACTCTCAAACGGAGAGAAAACCTCAGATTCAAAAAAACCCTAAGAAGGAAATACTGTAGTAAAAAGAACTCTTAAATCTTTTTTCTTTAAAATTACTGATTGAAAACTATAAAACGTGATGATTGAAATATCAAACCATGTGACAACATTCTTTGAATAAAATTAGACCTCAAATTAGTTCTGAGGAAAAAAGGTGTAGGCAATTTAACAGAATAAATTGTCGATTGTCATATAAAATAAATACATTAATATAATATTACCTGTCCCACAGGGTTTTCTGGCAAGATAATGGTACTCAGGTCTACGGTACCAAATAGGCTTCCACTTCCAGGCACAATTGGTTGAAAAGCTGTACAACCAAGGGCGTACCCAGCGAGAGGCAGGGGGGGGGGGGCAGAATTTTTTTTATAAATCATAAAAAGGCTCCGCTAAGTGCAGAAAATAAAAAAATCAAAATAAACCACTATGGTTTTACTAAAAAAATTACAAACCCGAAAAATATACTACTAAATACTACTAAAATATATTCATATACCTACGTAAGTCAAACGCAGCGCACTGCACAGCCTACTAGATTTGCAATTAGATATGAATTTTCTATTACGATCCTGGCCCCTGCGAATTTGTTGTACTGTGTTGTTTTTCTAACGGAATTCGATTATTTGCATTTGTTATTCAATGTTAATTTGTTTGTGCAAGTAAACTTTATTTACTTAGTTGTTGATAAACGTCTATGCTATGTTGTTAGCAGTTACGTTACACTAGTAAACATTGTCAGAAATTTATATTAGATTGTACTGTAACGAAAATTACCCTGAGTCCGCCTCTGACTCTTCCCGGCCGCGTGGAGAATTCTCGAGACGCAGCGCGAAGCTTCGTACGTGCTGCGGGAGAATCTTCGAGAAGCAGGCGCTTCGGATATAAAAGGAACAATGTCGGGCGGCGAGGGCAGATTTCGCCAGTGCCGGGTTGAAGAATAGAATACTTTTATAAATAAATACAAGATACAAGGCGTTACATAAACTAGTTAGTGTGTTTAGTTAAATTAATCAGAGTGAATTTTAGTTAAGTGTTAATAAAAGTATAGTTTTAATTAATTGGCAGCTTTTATCACATCGTAGTCGAACAAGTTCACGCTAAAAACGTTACAGTACTTATTGGAAAATCTGCTGAATCTACCTATTTCGGGCATCTCGGTATCTCCACACTGATAAATGGATATCAGGAAATTTTTTCAAACAGGTAAGTTACAGTTAGTAAGTTACATTCGACGATATTTGTGTAATATCTGTAAATTCCAATTAAAAAAAACAAAATGTTTTTTTCCATGTTACATGTTAAACAAAACACTAACATGGATATCACTCACACTGTATAAAATACTAATAGCGGCATTATTGTGTTTTGCAGCTACTAAAACTCTCAAGAGGAAAAAAGAACATGACAGTAGCAGCGGGAGCGATGATAACAATGATCAAATTTCATCGCCAAGCCCATCTAAAACTGAATCTGAATCTGAGCAACCGCTAAATTCTTTGAGATCTAAGAAAGTCACTGCTCCTAATTTAGAATCTTTACCGTCAACATCTGGCTCTGTAGTCAATCCCGAAATTGAAGAGAATGATGGTTGCCACGAAAATGACTCGGGTCGTTATGTAGGACAAACATTTCACCTGACGATGGAAAGAAAAAAAGAGTTGTTAAAAAATCCATGGGTTCCACCCAAGAATTACGATTTTGCAGCCGATGCCAGTCATTTGCGAAGAAAATTTAATTATGCTTGGTTACATCAATACACACCATGGTTAGTGTATTCCAAGCGACTAAAGGGTGCTCTGTGTAAGCACTGTGTTTTATTTCCTCCTTCTACTGGCACAGTAAGGGGAGTGTTAGGTTCATTTATGATCAGACCATTTACGAAGTTTAGGAATATGCACGAAGATTGTCGTAAACATGCCACCAATAACTTTCACAAATCTGCATCTGCTGCTGCAAAGGCCTTTCTCGAAAATATATCTGTGGACATTCAAGTTCAAAGTTTCCACCAAAAAACAATCGAAGAGAACAAGCAAATATTGGCCTCTACAATGACATCAAAACACAGATAGACCGAACAATAAACAAAATTTTCGTATGACGACATCTCTCTGTCTCTTTTGGGTCTTTGTGCTATCCCCACCACTGAGAATGCCAAATTTTGTCTTGAATCCCTAAATAATATATTTTTCTCCTCTAATTAACATTTTCAATTTTATTTCTGAACTCAATTTGGCAACAGCAGATTATAGCAAAACACCGCCCAGAAGCGGCTTGTTGAATGGCAGGCAGGTGTTGATTGTAGTAGCTAGCTATCTTTATTGCAAACAGGGATTATTCATTAGCGTTAAACAAGAAACGACTAACACGATATTGGTACTCCCAGAATAAAGGGCTCGTATCGAATATTTTCAGTTTATTTGTCAATTTGTTATTTTATTTATTCATCCAATTAAATTTCGAGATATATTCACGTGTGGGCGGGGTTTTTTACACCATTTTGAGCAATGATGTCTCCCTACCCCGACCCCGCGAGCAACTCACCTTCCCTGGCCCATGGGTGGTCTTGTCAACACAACAAATAATAGTTTATGAATGGGATGATCCGTCTATCTGTGT